CCCTCCATCCCGAGTGGAGAGGCCGTTTCCCAAGTTTCGCCCGAAATACTGATTTCAAGGATATCTGTTCGTTTTCTCTCTCTGGCCGAGTAGAGCCCACGCCTGGCAGCAGTGCTTATGCATCCTGGCCCGCGCCAGAATCCGTGTCCCAAAGCGCTGGAGTATCCCCTTGGCCCACCCGGGAGGCTCCCACGAGCAGGGCCATCTCCCGGTGGAAGGACTCTGGTGGGCTTCGAGGGGAAGGAGCTGCTCTGGGCGGCAGCTGGAGGCCACTGGTGCTGTGGTGTCACCTCGAGGGGCTGTTGGGGGAGCGGGACTGCCCCTCTGTCGCCTTCCCTCCCTGCTCCGGGCCTGTCCCCACCAGGTATCCGAGGGCTGGCAGCCCCCAGGGGCTCTCCCCAGGTAGGGCAGGTCCCCTTCGACGGCTTTTGCCCGGAGCCCCCTGGCCCCGCTGCTCGCCCGCGGGAGGGGTGCTGGGTCTGGGTGCGGGGCCAGCCGGGGCGGCAGAGCGGGATGAAGGACGATTTCTTAAATTGTATTTCAGTGCGGGGTCTTTCCGGGTTAATGAGCTGACATCATGATTAAAGCTGACCATTTGTAATGTGTCGCGACCCTGTTGAAAAGCACTGAAAAGGTTAATGTGGTAAAACAGGACAGCACCTGCCCCTCAGAGGGAGAGGAGGAGCTGGAACACTTTTCCTAATCAATTAGTCCATTAATGAGTCTATCAAGTAGTTAAGTAGTTAAAGATTATGCCGCTGGTCTGGGTAACAGTCGTCATCTCGCTATACCTAATTATATTATAAGTACTTTATTCAATATACCAGACATAATATGGTGACTCGGAGTTAATGAAAATGTCATTTTAAAACGTCTTGACATTTGTCTCTATTGATTTGTATATTTCCATCTCATTCTTTGCTTTCCCCGATTTGATTTTTTTTTTTTTTTGGAGGGGGGTTTGCTTCTGGAGGGAGTGAACGACCGCACCGGGGAGGGGGAGGAATCAACAGCTGGGGCCGGCAGAGACCCCCGCCCCACATCGCTCGGGCAACCCGGGGTTAAAAACCCTGTGCCACGGCCCCTGCCAAGGCCAAGGATATTGCACCTGGACATGGATGCGATAAAAAACACCCGGATTTCCGAGCCGGAGCAGCGCTTCCCACTCGCTCCCCTCCTCGGGCTTCCTCCCCGGCCGTACGGGGGGCTGCAACAGCCCGGACGCGGACGGCTGCGGGCTCGGGGGCAGCCCCCACCCACGGACACGGGTGTCCACAGGGAAAAAAGGGCCCAGAGAGGGGGTTTCTCCCTCTGGAGTCGCAGCAGAGGGGAAATGGAGGCGGAGCGGGTGGGAGGCTCTACCCGGGGGCAGGGGGAGTGAGGAGTCGGCATCGCGAGGCACCTGGTGGGGGACCGGCCTGGTGCCTTCCATGCTGGCCCTTTACCGGGGCTCCTTTCTGGGGCTTCCCGGGGAGGGAAGCAGGCACCGATCTCATGCTGGTGACAGGGAGGCCCCAGCTCCCGGTTCCAGGCAGCCGTCGGGGCTCAGCCTCCGCCTGGCATCTCCGAGGAAAAGGGGTTGCAGGTCCCAAAAAAAGGCCTGAGGAGTCCCTCAGGCTTCCAGCCGCGGCTCCGTGCCTTATCGGGAAGGTGGAGGACCCCTGCGGGGTCCCTGCCCTGGGCCCCCTGCCCCACGTTCCCTTGGAGATAGGTGTGACAGAGCGGATGCCACCCGCAGGTTTCCCTTTCCAAGGACAGGGAGAAGAGCAGCGGCCGCTGTAATTTATCCCCCCTCCCGAGGGGAAGAGCCCCTGATTCCTTGCAAAGTTTATTTGGAAATGCAGCGGGACACCCCCTCCCTCCCTGCTCCCTACGGCTCCCAGACCGCGGGATGACAACGCGGCAGGCATTTCGTGGGACATTTGTTCCCGGCTGCAAATCCCAAGCTCTGGAAGGTTTCCCAGCGCTGCCGAGCAGGAAACGCACCGTGACAGGTTTTTTTTTCCCCTCCTCTAATGAGGAGAAGTGTAAAGATCCCCGGATATGCACAAGGTGTTTATCCCAACACCCCCCGCCCCTGGGGAGGCATAAGCCATTCAGCCCACGTCCCTCTCGCCCACTCGGGGTGGAGTGCAGGAGGGATGGCGGGCGCCCATCAGCCCTCCCCCGGGGGCGCGGGGTCAGTGTAGACCCCGGGGACCACGGTGAGGGCCCCGCAGGGGTTTCCCCCCGGCCTCGGTGCCTCCCCCAGGCCCCATCATTCCCGTACCCCGCGGGTTTCCAAACTTTCCGTGTCCGCCGCCGCCGTGATTGGCGCGGCGGAGGCCACCTCCATGCAAATGAAGCCCCGCCGCCCGGCGCCCGCAGATCAATAGGGACGCGGGGGAAGGAGCATGCATTCCGCCTGGGCCGGCGCGGGGACAGCCGCCCGCCGCACGCCCCGAGCGCCCCCCGAAACCAGCCCCCCGACGGCTCCCCGCGGGCTGCCGGGGCACCCCCACCCCGCGCCCCCTCTAAAGCGAGAGCTTCCTTCCTCTGCTTTCTTATGAACCCAGGATGAGCAGCAAAGAAGACCCGAGCAAGTGCTGTCCGGCTGCTGCTCCCATCTCCAGTTTCACCATCCAGTCCATCCTGGGCAGCGGCAGTGCCGAGCCCCCCCGGGAAGGCGGTGGCAGGGCGCCCGCCTGGCCCGCCCGCGCCAGGACCCTCTCCCTCTCCTCGGAGGATGAAGAGCCGGAGGAGAGCTGGAAGCACCGCGGCTGCTTCTGCCCCGAGGCTCAGGGCCCCGCCGAGGCGTGCCACAAGCACCAGCCCCTCAGCTTCACCTGTCTCGGTGAGTACCGGGATGGGATGGGATGGGATGGGATGGGATGGGATGGGGCGGATGGGACCCACCGGGACGGGCCGCGGCCCAGCCCCCGCGGGAAGTGGGAGGGGGGCACATGTCGCACCCTCTCTGCTTTCGGGGCACACAGGATTTGCGCCGTCCGTGGGTGATGCGGGGAGGAAGGAACTCCAGGAAAAATAGGGTGGCTTTTTAATTTTTTCTTTCCCACCACACCCGGGGTTGATTCCCCCAGGGATGTGGTGCCATGGATAAAGCTCGTTTTCTTTAGATTCTGGTTATTTACAGCACTCGGGCAAAGGGAAGAACGATGTTTAAATTTTTTTAGCATTAATTCTGAATAAACGGCGTGTGAAATGCGGTGCTGTATAGTAAAATCTGCCGGGTCGTGTCGGATAGGAAGGCTGGCACTCAGCTGCTTTCGCTGAGGCACGCGCACCCACCTGTCCATCCATCCATCCATCCATCCATCCATCCATCCATCCATCCATCCATCCATCCATGTATGTGATGGAGGGACGGGGGTAGCCCAGAAGGGAATGCCTTCTCGCCCTGCCGATTTTGTCTTCCACGAGGAACAGAGGCGCAGAGCGCCTGCCCAGGGTCTCGCCTCGCTCCGGGGCGGGGGGTTCTGCCGTCGGGGGTCCCGGTGCTGCCCACCGTGCGACCCCCGCGCTGTCGCTCTGTTGCAGGCAGCGCCAAGGGGAGCGGAGCGGCGGCGGCGGTGGCCAGCGCAGAGAGGGGGCCCTTCCTCTCGGCCCCGCAGCAGGACTGTAAGGACGAGAAGGAGAAGCCGCTGGGACCCTCCTCGCCCTCCTGCGGGGACCGGCAGCGCGACGGCGGGGACCGGCAGGCCGGCGCCGCCAAGAAGAAGACGCGCACGGTGTTCAGCCGCAGCCAGGTCTACCAACTGGAATCCACCTTCGACATGAAGCGCTACCTGAGCAGCTCGGAGAGGGCCTGCCTGGCCTCCAGCCTGCAGCTCACCGAGACCCAGGTGAAGACTTGGTTCCAGAACCGCAGGAACAAGTGGAAACGGCAGCTCTCGGCCGAGCTGGAGGCGGCCAACATGGCCCACGCCTCGGCGCAGACTCTGGTGGGGATGCCGCTGGTGTTCAGGGACAATTCCCTCCTGCGAGTGCCGGTGCCCCGGTCCATCGCCTTCCCCGCCCCTCTCTACTACCCCGGCAGCAACCTCTCGGCCTTACCGCTCTACAACCTGTACAACAAGATCGACTATTGAGCCTCCGCCCCTCCCGCCCCGTCGGGACCGGCACCAGAACCAGGAGCGGGACTGGAGCCGCCGCGGGGGTTCCGTGCGGGGTCTCGGGCCGCCCCCACGGCGGGGACACAGGAATCGAACTGATAGGGAGGGACGGGAGAACCGAGAGCCCCCTCCCGCTATCCTGCCACTTGAAAAGAAAAAAAAAATAATTAAAAAAGCGTTATTTCAGATCTGTAAATATTTTTAAAGAAAGAAAGGAAACAACAACGACAAAAAAAAAATTAAACCTCGTTTTAAGCCTCGTTTGTAAATTTTTTGCCACCTCGGTCGCGTGTCCCCCCCCGAGTGGGGGACCCCCGGCACAGGGGTACGCCCGCAGCCGGGACGGGATGGATCCACGGGGAAAACGACTTTAAACGCAGAGGGTTTATTTATTTTTTTTTCCCTGCATTTTTGCTCTTTATCTCGTTTCCTGCAGGGAATCCCAGGCCCGTCCCCTCCGCCCGTGGCCCCTCGGCGCGCTGCTCTCGGCTGGGGGATGAAGGGGTGTTCCCCGAAAAGTTTCGGTAACGGGGGCAGTGCTTGTGTTTCGGCATCCACGGCGGCTGCCCCACGTCGGAGGGGACGATCGGTCACTCACAACCCAGTAAATCCCGCAGCAAAGCGGCGATCAAACCGCGGCCACCGGCGCCGGTACCGACAGCGGGGATGGCGGGGGAGGGGGGGTGTCACAGCAGCAGCGACGAGGACAGCGGAAAAAAATACCAAAAAACCCCCCCCAAAACCAAACCAAAACAAAAAAAAAAACAAAATCCCCCAGCGGTAAATAACGCTGTTTCAGAGCAGGGAAGGAAAACGCTGTGTTTTAGCCCTTTGCCCGGGGGTCCCGGCAGCCGGGGTGGGATGGGGGGGGGGGCGAGGGGGGACGGAGGGACTCAATTCGGGTCTCTGTTTTAGGGGTAATAACTCCTATTTCGGGTTCGCACGTTAACGCTGCCGAACCCTACCGCTCTTTCCTCCCACACCAGCCCCGCGTGACTCCCCCCGGGGGAGCTCCCGTTATCGGCCGGGATGGGACAGTGGACAAGGAGGCAAGTCCCCCCATGCCGGCCTCGGCCCCGCCGGACTACAGCTCCCGGCGTGCCCCGCGGGGAAGGGGGGGGGGGGGAAGCGCGCGGCGCACGCCGGGCACGCGGCGGCGTCACGCGCGTTCGAACCGGCCAATCGCGGGGGCGGGCGGCTGTGCGCGCGCGCGGCAGGCGGCGGCGGCGGCGGAGGTGAGGCCGGGAATGGGATCGGGATCGGGATCGGAACCGGGAATGGGAATGGGAACCCAGAATCTGGACCGGGATCCGAACCAGGACTGGGGTCGGGATCCCGACGGGGAGCCGGACTCTGGGGGCGGCCTCACCCCCCCTCCCCCCGGTGCGGCCTCGTCCCTTCCCCGTTCCCAGGCCCTCCCTTCACTCTCTCCCCTTCCCTGCCCGCAGCGTCTCCCGCATCCCGACGTGCTTCTCCCCGGCCGGACCGTGACAGCGACCGACGCCCCGGCGGCTCTGCCGTGACTCCCGGAGGTTTTTCCGAGCGCCGCGCGGAGCGGCGGGAGGAGCTCGTCCAACATGAAAACGGTACGGCTGGATTTGATGTTTTCGTGTTAAAAGCGCGGGCTTGGCTCTCACCCAGGCGCTCTGCTTTGGTCGGGCAGCTGTGCCGAGGGGGGCTGTAAAGGCACAGGTTTCTTACCTGTTCGCTAAAAACCAGTTGTGGTTTTTTTTCCTAAAACTGAACCCCGTGTCTAACTCAGAATCGCAGTTTCAGCCTATAACGTCTTATTTTTTTAAGAGTTATTTTCTTCTGGGCCTCAACATTTTACCAGCACTTCGTTGTTTGAGGTGGGCTTGACTCCGTGGTTTGGAAATGCTGGTTGTGAAGCAGCTGTTTTTGTGCAAATGCAGAGCTCTTTGTGCGTTTATTTTTTTTTTTTTTTAGAGTGTGTTAGAGGCAGGATATATTTAAATTCTGATATTATGTATGTTTTTCTGGATTAAAAATACCTTTGGGAGATCCTTCCAGGTGTCTTATATAACTAACTTTGCTTCCTGGGCTGATTAATAACTCATACCAGGCCTCAAATAATACAACAACTTGTACCTCACATCCTTGTGTTTGCTGTTTGAGTTTTCTGGCACAAGTAGACAAGGCAATTACCACGTCCAGTCTAATTTTCCCAGTCTTGAATTCCTTTAGATTTTGTGTCTCTGGACATCCATCTAAAGCATTCACTGCTGCAGGTGATGCTGAATTCCTTGTAGTTTTCCTATGGAGAGATGTGTGGATAAATCTCAAGCCTCCCTTTTTCCAAGTATTCCCAAAGCAGAGCTGGAAGAAGGGGCTTAGAAAGAAGCTTTCATCTTATTAAAAGTGCTTTTTTCCCCCCTTCATTTCATGTTTAAATGGCAGAACTACCACTTTGTGTTGACACAGTGGGTGGGATTTTTGGGTTTTTTTTTGAAGGATGTCTTGCAGAGCACCTGCCAAAGCTCCCACTCAGGAAGTCTCTCCAGTGTGAGAATGTGTGTGTTGCTCACTTTATAACACAACTTGATGACTGTCCAGTTACTGACAAGCACTGAACTGGAATCACTGTGCCCTAAATTTCAACCTTGCCCTCGTTCATCTGCTCATCCTCTCCTGATTTATTGTCAGGGGTGTAATCTTACCTCTGCACTTGCACATCCAGATTCAGGAGTGACAGTGTGACAGAAAATCTGAAATAATTTACTTCTCTGCTCCTCTGGCATAAGGGAAATGAGCTGTTAAGGTTTTGTGAAGCCTTAAAAAAAATACACCTTAAGAAAAGTTTTGGTTGCTTTGTTGGTGTACACGTCACGAGCAATTTCTTTTAGAGTGTTTGCAAAGTTTGAACTGTTCTCCAGCTGGAATCTGCAGTTCATAGGCTCTGCTGTCCTTGGAATTTTTGTACATGCAACAAAACTGCAGTGGGTGCTGCAGTTGCCTTCAGAGTCACTGATCTGTCATTGAATGGTTGATTTTTTTTTTTTTTCTAGTCACATCACATTTACATGTTCTTTCTACATCATTACCCTACAGAACACAACCTCCCTTTCTTACCTGCCCTTTGGATTCTAAAAGAGGGGGAAAAAACATTTTATAGCACTTATGGAAACCTAAAGAATGGGAAGTTGCAGACAGCCCAGACCTACATAAAAGATAATCCAATTGCAATTCTTGGAAGATTGTGGCAGCCATACCAAATGAGGAACAAATCAACACTTTTTAGAGTTTTCAAATGAGACTCCTTTCTGCTTATATGTGTTTTTTAAAGTGACTTCTTGATGCTCACAGTAACTTTTAGATATTTAATTTAAAAAACGCAGTCACACACACGAGCAGAGCAAGGGAAGTACATTTGTAAGTAACAATATGTAAGATGATGATAATGTATTTGTGCTGTTTATCTGATGTTATATTTAGTATTTAGAGGTTCTCTGTAGGGGAAGGAATTTACTGAGGTTTTGGAAAGGGATTGAATGTTAGAGTTTGTCAGAAATCTGGGTGTTCTGATCTTGTGTGTCAAAGGCACTAAACTTTTGAGGCTTCCTTTGGGCTGCCTTGCAGGTGTCTGAGTTTATCTTGCTGACCTGCTGGGCCTATGCTCCTGTAACCACTCAGATTGTGTCTGTGCCTTTATTGTCTGCAGATGACGGGATCAAACGAGTTCAAACTGAACCAAACTCCAGATGATGGTATTTCATCGGTGAAGTTCAGTCCAAACACGTGTCAGTTTCTGCTTGTTTCCTCCTGGGACACGACTGTTCGGCTCTATGATGTCCCTGCCAACACCATGAGACTCAAATATCAGCATTCAGGAGCTGTCCTGGACTGTGCTTTTTATGTAAGTGTGGGAGGTTATTTTTAATTATTATTTTACAGACGTGCAGTGCCCAAGGTATGAGAAACTGTCACTCCCTGAAATTAAAGGGGAGAAAAACGCTACCTGAAATATAGGCTGAAAAATACAGTTCACTTCTGCCAATTAGCTCCTTATTTAATGAACATCAGTCCAGTCCTAAATGCAGGGATTGCCTGTGAAGGAGCAGGCACACAAGCAACTCACTCCTGGTACAAGTGGGAGGCAAAAGTGATTGAAGCTGGTTTGTGCTGTTTCTGGAGTGGTGAACTGTGTGTGTGCTCCTCACAAAGAGTTGTACTGGGAGGATAGAGCCAGAAATCCTTACCCGCAAGAAGTGCCCAGAGCCAATTAGTATTTTCTTTTTAACCTTCCCACACTGGGTTGTCCAGAAAACGCGGCGTTTTTCCAAGTGAGACATTTGTTAGGTCCTTGGTTTCTGTGTTTTTTTAATGCTCTGGGTTTGAAATGATTTGTAAGAGCCTCTAATTGCCTTTTAAATTTTTTTTTTTTTAGTTTTACTTTAAACTTAAAAAAAATACATGTAGCTCAAAGCACTTAAAAATTTGGCAGAGCTTCTGTTGTCTGCCTGTTTAAATCTGGGCCAGATCTTAACCCTTGTGTCTCAATTCCCATCTTCCCAAAACTCATGAAAGAGAGTTCTTTGCTGTGAGCCCAGGAAATGAAATGTATGTAGCAGCCATGGAAAATTAATGCAATGTCCTAAGGTGAAATTTTATGCTTTATAGGATCCTACCCATGCCTGGAGTGGAGGGCTGGATCAGCAGCTGAAAATGCACGATTTAAACACGGACCAAGGTGAGCAGATTGGGTAATGAATGGTCTCACCAGCTGGGCTAAACTTCAGATTTTTATATTTACATGAACAGGGTGTGTTTAAAGTTCTTTAGATGGGGGATATTTAAGTGTCTGGAGAGTAACTATTGGCCCTAATAAGTACCAGCTAAAAGCGGGGAAGAATCGGTCAGGTTACCAGAAAATTTGGTAGGTGCTTGTTGTAGGATGCCTCGAATTGCATTTCTGATGATAATCCTGAATATCCAAACCCCCATGTGCTGCAGTGTCTCAATTAGGGCGAATTAGCCAAGCTGAACTAAACCTGAACATGTTATTTTTCAAAGGTTTGTGATTTTAGTGTGTTTAGAATAATGATCTTTCATGGCAGAGGGTGTATAAAGCTTTTGCTTTGTCAAGCAGGGCCTTGTACTACATTTTGTTCCTAACAAAACATTGCTTGAAAATAACAGTTCCAGTGCCTTGTTGATGCAAAACGTGGAACTAGTTTGTCTCACTTTTTTTTTGTGTGTGTGTTAAAGAGAAAAGCAAATCTCAGCCAGACATAGTCATCAGAGCCAACCAATAGCCAGGGCTTGACAAACAAGTGTGAGCGGTAAAGTTTAAATTTAACAATCCTTTTCTTTGCCAAACTTGTGTTTCAGAAGTCTGAGCTATCCTTAGAGAGAGTCCTGGCATAGAAATGCACCCATGGAATGTCAGAAAATGTTTGTACTGCAGTAGAGTCCTTTTTTTATTCTTTATTTCACACATTCTGTGTGTTGGTAGGGCCAGTAAAGTTACAGTGTATTGTACTTTCTTACAGAAAACCTTGTGGGTGCCCATGATGCTCCCATCAGGTGTGTTGAGTACTGCCCAGAGGTGAATGTGATGGTGACTGGAAGCTGGGATCAAACAGTTAAACTGTGGGATCCCAGAACTCCTTGTAATGCAGGAACCTTCTCTCAGCCTGAAAAGGTACGTGCTGGGTGCTGGATTCCAGGGGACACGCTAAATAATGCAGGACGCTGAAACTGGATTGAATTTGTGAAGTTGTGTTTGATGGGTTTTAAGCTGTGAAACTTGCACAGATTAAGAGATTGGTGTTCGGAATATACTGAGATTTTTAGGGGAAGGCTTTGACCAGATTCTTATAACTGAAAATGAGTTTGAAAGAAAACGTTACAAACCCAGCAGCTTGGCTTAATTGTAATATTCACTATTGATTTCCTTAAGTGTTAAGATTTTAGGTACATCAGACCTGGCAGTCATAGGGTCTGATACAGGAGGAGGCTATTTACATTCCCCGAAATACTAATTTGGTTTTTCACTTGTGTTAAAAAATTGAACAGAATTTCTGGTGATTTACCTGTGCTGTACTAATGCCTAGTAAATTCTGACATTGTTCCAATACCGAAATCCTCTGTGCTAATGGGAGACTTGGAGAAATAAGGTAAAATTTTACACCTTCAGCGTTTTCTAATGGTCATGTGGTGTGTTAATCTTTATTGTGCTTACAGTGGTGTCACTGAGAGAATTAAACAACAGTAATTTCTGATTTTTTTTTCAGAGACTGCTAAACACAGGCTGGCTTGGATAATTTTACATACGAATATTTTTTTGCCTGTGCCTTTTTAAAATTTCATTTAGCACTGTGACATCCTATTGTCAAGTCCTAATTACGAGCCATCATTACATTCCCTTTGCCCCTAAATAGCTCTTACTTTTGTTCCAGCATAGCTGAATCTACTTCTGGTGAGACCTTTGTTCAGAATAAAGTAATTGCATTATTTCTAGTTTTGATTTATAGATGTATGTAGCATGTAAAGAACTGTGATAAATTGCTGCCAGAATATCATATAATGGACAGCCACAGTGAATCAAGCTGCTTATTGGTTCAGCAAGGTTCATTATGTCATTTTTTTAATGCTGCCTTTGATAAATGTGTACACCTACTCAACTGCACGACAACGGTTTCACTTGATTTATGGTTGTGTGGTGTAGAAAGAATACTCACTGTACAGGTGTGACATCAGTTTGTGGAGAAGATTTAAGATATTTAATGTTTTTATGCCTTTGTTTCCCTGCATGTATGCAAACACATTTTATATAATGTTTATTAATATTTTTTGGGGTAAATTTTTGTGTTAAAAACGAAGGGATACTTGAAAAACTGTCTTGTTGAAGTGTGTAACTACTGTTAGCTCAAAGTACCCTTACTCTTTTTAGGCATAATTGGGATCATCAGAAATTTTTGGGCAACTCCTCTGTGAACATTTAAGATTTTTTTCATCCTAAGATCTCAGTCTTAAGAGGGTAGTTGAGCAATCACATTTTATTGCAGGAATATCTGGTGAACAGATAAGGTTAAAGGAAGCTTTTTATATTTTTCTATTTCAGTGCAGTCTTACCAGAACCAACAGCTTTGCTGGGCTCTATCGGATGAATTAATTTCATGACACAATGCTTTTGACTAAACCTCTTTCCTTTTTCTTTTTTTTTTAAACATATATTCAGATTAACTACATCCCAAATAATAGTTGGAAACAACAATCCATCCACTGAATGTTTTAATGAGAAATTTGATAAGCCAAAATTAGAACCTCTGGACCCGTTTTTAGGGTAGAGCTGAAATTCCAAATCCATAGTCCTTTTAAATGTGTCAAGCGTATTGCTTTCTTGCATATCACATGATTTTATTAAACTATACAAAGCACCGTTTTTTTTAATGATTTCTTGGCAGTTTTATTTCACTTTATTAACACGAAACTCCACCTGAAGTGTTGAGTTTAAAAAGAAAACCACGTGGTTAGCAGGTGGAGGGAAACAGAGGGGAAAATGTGTGCTGTGGTATTGTAGGACTAACCTGCCTTAACAGTGGGAATGCAAACTGTACATACCAAGCAGAGATGAATTCCACTATCCATGCTCTTCCCTATCTGCCCCTTAGGGTTAGTTTTCCTTTTACCATTACATTCAATAAATTTAATGCTTTAAGCAGCTGCACACCACTGCTGTTTACCCCAAGTCTGAGCCCTGAACTGAAGCTGAAGGGAGTTCTCTGGCTAAAAACATCATTGTAACATCACCTGCTCGTTGCTGGCGGTTTATTTTGTCCAAACAGCGGCGGTTGTGCAGGTTAATAAGTGTTAACCGCTGTAAATGTTTTTTTTTTTGGAAGGTGTACACGCTGTCTGTGTCTGGGGACAGGCTGATCGTGGGGACGGCGGGCCGGAGGGTGCTGGTGTGGGATTTACGGAACATGGGATACGTTCAGCAGCGCAGGGAATCCAGCCTCAAATACCAGACCCGCTGCATCAGAGCATTTCCCAACAAACAGGTATGGCAGCCCTGGCAGGGACTGTGTTTCTGCTGAGTGCTCTTTAGGGAAATGGTGGTTTATTTTTCAACTTTTCTGCATCTTTCATTTAAAAAAAAACAATCCATGGATTTTCGGAATGTAGTAATTGAACAGGGAGAGGGGAGGCTTCTTGTTGCAGGTTAATTCTTTTTCGTAGCACAGTTTAGGAATCTTTGCCACCGACTTACTATTTTTATCTCCTTTTTGAAAAATATATTTAATGTATCACAATGCTGTCATGTAATTAAAAACCAAAACACACACATATACACCCCCCCCCCCTCCAAGTTGGGGAGAGAGAAAGCCCCAATTGGTGGTTCCTCAGCAGCCTTTTTGCTTCATA